ATTGAAGGTTTAAAATGGTTTAGATTTCTATAGCTATTTTGTGTAAACCAGCAGGGGAAAGTGCTGAGTCATGGTGGCGAAAGGAGCGAAGTGTGGTGGACGTACTGTGCATTGGGTTATAATCATAGTTAGCATGTCAGCTATTCAGCTATAAATGCCTGGTAACAAATAAAACTCTCCACCTTTTTTTGACTAGCGTCAGAGGCCATTTCCACAGCTGTCCAAATTAAATAAATCTCTATAACGAAATGTAGTTTAACAACTGTATATTGGTTATTTATTCTCCAGGTGCACAGTTTCATATTGTTAAAATACTTTAAAGTATTTTATCATTTATCTTTTAACTCTTCACTATTCAGTATTCTTTTACATTTTTCTAAGGTCCAAATTTGTGTGACCATTTTTTTCTATAATCTTTTTGCTGCTGTAACCCAGAATTTCCCCACTGTGGGACAATAAAGGGATTTTCTATGCTATTCTATTCTGTTCTATTCTATTCAACTAAATTGTTTGCAGCAAATTCTGCTAGTTGGTTTCAGCTGCTTCTTAACGGCAGCCGCCCATTTCACTCACCTTTCTGGGTCTTTAGGAAAGCGATAGAATGAGATGGCGCCCTTTCTTCCTTGTCGGTTGGTACACCCATATGCTAAACACGAGATTAACATGTTTTTGTTGGTGTTTTCGAGGTAATGTCGGGAAAAACTGCCATGGCCGTTAGTCTTTTTCTATATATGTAAAGTTTGTTTTGCTTTCCAAGGAGGCGGAGTCACGGGTGTCACATGATTGGCTGAAGTCAGCTGCACGTCCCCTGTACACTCGTTATGACTGGATCGTTTTATTTAGTGCTTCTTTAAACAGGGAATTTGAATTTTAACCAAGGTTTAGATCGGATCGGGGGATTTTTGTGCATGCAAACATAGCTGTTTTTATTTATTAATATTTTTCTGGTTAAAATCGGCTGGTGTGTGACGTGTTGTGCTTACAGCATAGCTGGGCACCACACCCTGTAGAGCTGTACCCATTTTATCTCAGATGTTTTTTATCGCCATGTGGGCTCGTTTATAAAACCACTGACCTTTTTATAATCTTGCTGTGTTAACTGGGCTTAAACTCTGCCTTTCTTTATATCAACATACAAGCTAGGTTAATTAACTTACACTCATTGTTTATTTATTGTTGTTCTTACATTCAATTCATTTCTAACCTTTTGATTTCATCACAGAGAACAAGAACTGAGTCGGTCTTTAAGAAACTAGACACTTATTTTTAGAATAAGTTGCACTGAGCTCTGTAGTTTTAGCCTCTACAGGTTTAATAACCGTTGAGATGAACAGTTCTTAGTAAAGTTAGAATAGCTTTTTTATACTTTAGACTTAATGTGTTTGTGCTTTGCTTTTCTACACTCTAAATAATAAATGTCTGCCCTGTTGGAAATGAAGTTCAGACTCTTTTTATGTTTACAGTTTTTGTTATTGATATTATTTTTCTATTTTATGTTGAGGTTGCCATAAAAAATACTTTTTTTATGTTTCAGCTTTTATGTTGCTTCTACACGTCATAGATCTTTAAAGTTATTCCTATTTAAGGCCAGTAAAGCCTAATACAAAGTAAATATAAGACAAGTTTTTGGATTATTTCAATGATTAAGAGCTATTAATCCAAACCTAGCTCTGTGTGACATTATTTTGCACTTTAAAACCTCAGCAACATTAACTGCTGTCATTTATAACTGCTGTTAGTCTTTTGTGTCTCTCTGAAGTATTTAATTCAGCCATTTTACGAAGAGGCTGCTGTGCTCAGGATGATTATCCCAAACATATTTATCCTTAGGATCACATACTGCTGACCAGAATCCAGTTTGCTGGTTGAGGGCAACATTTTATCAACTTTTATACTCTGTTCCAAGTTATGCTGTGATTCTTTTACTAAAGTCAGATGTTTTCATCAAAGCCTTTCTGGTTTATTATAAATCCTGTAACAATAAATTATTGGTTGCTTGTCAGAAGCATGTTTCCTCAAGTCATAAGAACTGTATAAAGCTTATTAGTTTTGTTTTTTTTTTTCTTTCCCCAGGTGAGCCGAATGCTTTACAGTTTCCTCATATCATCAAATAACTCTTGGATCCAGGAGATAATCAGCCCAGAACATGTGGGCCATCTAAGTAAGTTACCTTTGGGGTGTTTTCTGAAACAAACAAAAAGCTGTTCTTGCTTTACATTTTGTTTATGTGTGGTATTAGTTTGTTTTAATCTGACGTCTCAGTGCTAAAATAGAACTCTTTTACATTCAGAAGTCAGCCAGTTGGTTAATTGAGTCAGTTTTTGTGTAATTTAACCCTGATATTAATTTAAAAAAGGAGACTTTTGGTTTACAGTTAAGGGGATGTGAAATCTAAAGGGTTATAAGTGATCTACTTTGGATTGGGCTTTGGATATTTATGCTGGTCTTTTTTCTTAGACAACAAGACTACAAACTTCTATATCAGTGTGTTGGACCAAACCAGTTTGCCGGCTCTTCTGGTCAAGCAAATGTTGGCTAACCTGACTGGGATCACGGTCAACGTCACTGAGGAGGACTGCAGGAACCAGAGAGAGAACAAAGACGACACGGAGAGCCAACATGTGAGTTCTCCAGCTTTCTTTATCACACAAACTTCATTATTTGGCCTTATTTATGCTACTTTTTCAGAAATCAATCAGCTTGTAAAAGTATAGATAATAAGAACGGATGGTAAATATGTAGAAACCAGTATAATTCTGATTTTAACTCCTTAATATAATTTATAGTTTTTCTATATATAATAATGTAGTTTTTAATTGAAGAAACGCCATCAGCTAAATTTAAAGGTTGTTATGAAGTTTAGCCAAGTTTGAAAATGAATGCTTTGAAAATAACAATAAAAGCATCATTATCCAAAAGTTTTTATTTAACTGTTATATAACCCCCCCTGTTCTAACTCCCCTCCCTCCCCCTCAGCTGTACAAGTACCTTTGGGTTCAGGGGGCAGCAGCTCCCAACGGCACGCAGCGGGAGGGTTTCTGCATCCGCTCCACCGTGTCGTGGTCCAAAGCGTTGTCCCCGGCCTTTGAGCTCGAGGACTACACCTCCAGTATTTACTCAACATGGACGGAGTCCAGGTGGAAGAAAATCAAGGGACGCATATTCCTGGTGGCCAGCCATGACTTGGAGGTAAATCGGTCAGGATTTGTCCCGCAGCCATCTGTCCTGCAGTTTCTGAATTATGGAAAAATCTTCCTGTTTAGTAGCTGCAGAGATTGTGCTTTGCTGGGCTTCTGGTGGGATTAACGTCTTAGACTTTGATGCTTCTGAGTTCATTTTTTGTAAACACAGGATTATTTATTTTGGATTCATAATTAGTTAATGTATTTTGTCTCAGATATCAGATCAAACTTATTTCTCTCTCTAACTAACAGATAAAAATGTATAAATATACCACATAGGCCTGAAACAATTCATCGGATTAATCGATTATTAAAATAATCTCCAACTAATTTAGTAATCGATTAATCGTTAACTGGAGTATAGAGACTTTAAAACATACCTTTAACTGACAGAATGACCCACTTAGAGCAGTAATTACACCAAACACATTTGCATTTAAGTTATAAAAAAAAAAAAAGTGCTTTGTCTGTCAATATGCTCTACTTCTCAAGTGGAAAAGTTTTAGTTTTACCTTTTTAGTAAAAAATATACTTTAAGGAACTTTTGCTATCTGATTATTAATTGATAAAAATTATAAAAATAAATGCCAGATTAATGGAGTAGCAAAATGATCATTAGTTGCAGCCTTAATCCCACCGTGCTGACACAGCCACAGTTTGTGGATTAAACTCATAGTAAAGGTGTTTTCTATAAGGAAAACTACCGGATAAATCTGGAAATAAAAGTATGGAGAAGTCTTTAATTTTACATTGGAAATGATCTAAAAGTGGCTGTTTAATATTACCTCTTTGTTTTTTAAGCAGCGGTGTGTCAAATGCACCCAGTCATGGGCTTATTGTGAGGCAGCCTTCCTGCAGCAGAGCAGAGCTCAACTAACAGCCATTACTTCACTCCAGCAATAAACGTAAATCTGTCCAGATGTGACAGAGATGGATCGTGTTTCTTGAAGGAGCTTCAAGTCTCCGCACGCTCAGCGGAGCATCGTGCTGAACTAAATGAGGGCCCCTCATCTCTGCTATCACTTCACTGGAGGTGGAATTTTAAATGGGGTCTCGGGGCAAAACGTGACGGTTAATTTGAAGCATCCTAGAGTTCGTCAGCCAGATGTTCTCTCTTCAGAGCAGAATTTAAGAGTTAACCTCATATTTGGCCTCCTTTAAATAAAAGTTTAAATGCCATTTCTCCAGAATCAGCCTGCATTAGATGTAAACATTTAGAAAAATTCAATTCAGTTCATTTCTATGGTGCAAATTCACAACATGTTATCTAAAGGCACTTTACAGTTCAACCAAATTGATTCCCAGTTTTCTATCTAAGGAAAACCAGTTGATTGCATCGGATCATTGATTCAAAGGCAATCCCTCACACTAAGCATGCTTGTAGCGACAGTGGAGAGGAAAAACTCCCTTTTAACAGGAAGAAACCTCCAGCAGAACCAGGCTTTAGAACATTTAATAGGAGTTGATAAAGTTTTCTAAGGTTAAGCTTCTCTCCTCCAGATGTTGACGCTCGGCGTGGGGATCGGCGTGCTTCTGACGTCCCTCTTGCTGACGTACATCATCAGCTCCAAGGTAGACATCCTGTTCAGCTCAGGGCGGGAGCCCACCAGCGCCACCTACTGATCCACAGGAAGACGTCTCCGGCCTGCCACCACTACAACCCCAACTACTACTACTACTACTATAACAACCGCTAGTACTACTTCTGTCCCAAGCAGACTTTAAAACTCGGCACATTAAGGTACACAGACAGCTTTGAGTCAGCAGCGCAGTCGGGCCGGTTCTAAGACCCACTCTGTGTTCATGGACTCACCTCGGTGAGGTCGGACGCCACGACCGGAGTGGACTGGATGGATCTGGACTCCTCAGGGTCAGAAACACTGGTCAGGCACCAGAGGGGCCCTGTCAGCGGACAAGATGTTCATATTTCTCTGGAATTTCCTTTTTTTTTCATTTCTCTAACTTTTTAACGTGGAGGAATGTTTTTGTTTACTGTGTCTCTGAGCGATTGTGTGTGAGAAACATTCGGACTGCCTGATCTAGTGGGTGAACATTTGCACGGGTGTGTGAGTGCGAGTTCAGAGCCTGAATTTCGGGGATTGCGATGTATGTGCAATACTGAAGCTATCTTCTGTGTAAATGTAAGTAAATTATCAATCAGCTGTAATGATTAAAAAAAAGCCACTTTTTGAGCCGATGATCAGCTTTTAAAATTCCTATTTACGCTTTAAACTGACCTGGAAAGGTAGGAAATGTAAACTGTCGTGCAGCACGTGTTTATGTAGTGTTTTATTTGGAAAATATCAGTAGGAAAGTTTTTAGGGAGAAATTTAGAGTTTTAACACTGAAAACGTGCTGGTACTCTCTGCACTCCCACAATTCCTCTTTTTCAGTCCTAGGATCATTTTTGGAAGCATTATGCAGAAAATGCCAGTTTTTATTTAATTCTATCAATTGAATGGCTGGAATAAAAAGGTTTTGGGGTCTTGAAGACAAAATAAATAAACATTTTCTTTTTTCCCAGAGTGTATTCCCAGAGTTTGGTTTGTGATGTGTTGCAACATGTTGAAGCTGTTAAAAAGAGCTGAGCTGATAGTAGCAGTTTATAAACTGCAGTAATAATACTGTGGCTTTAGTTCACCACAGTAGCCATAAAAACCGGTTTGGATCTGCGTCATTTTATTAGAACTTAGATGCTTTCCTCTTCCTTTGGTGTGTTTTATAACTTTTTGTGGACAGAGAATTCCCATGGCCACAGCCAGCAGCTGGTTGCTTAAAATGCCGCTTTCACGCTGTTAGCATTCAGCTCCCTGGAATCTCTGCGTGTTTAATAAGATTAATATTTTGCAAGAACAAGGAAATGCAGTTTCAGTGCTCTGCCTGAAAACTCGCTGTACAATAATTCAGCATCATCTGCCTTCACTGAAATCAAGTTTTGATCCTTGGATCGTCACATTTCTGACTTTTTGTTTACTTTTAATGTACTGACCGTTTCCTTCCCAAACATCTTTTTAATATTGTTTAGAAGCTTTTAGACCTGGTTTGGATCAAGTTTTTCAAACTTTCTTAGCTGCTTCCTCATCATTTTCTGTTGATTTTTCAAAAAAATTCATAATTCTCCATCTCTGAACAACAAAAATGACATTAATAATAAAAAATAAAGGTTACACTGTATTCATGATATCTTCTTTTTTTTTTAAACTATAAAAACAAAAAACAATTGATACATAAACAGATGAAGAAAAGCCATCATCCATGCAGCTCATCTTGTTTCTTGAACGTAAACTAATTGATGTCCATATAAGGTTTTTTTTTTTCAAGGTTGACGACTTCTTCAAACGAGGAATAGAAAATTAAGTATTTAGACCTATTTTATAAATATAAAAACAGTTTTTCTTTCAAGCTGTTCTTTTCTTTATCAATTACCGATCCTTGTGATTTGCAAATAGGAAATGAGTAATAATTAGCAATGAATGAATGTTGGTTTTCTTTGAAACTGGTTCTCTGAAATTGATATTTAAAATAAAATGCATTCTATATTTTCTGTCTTTGTTTATGCATGAACGCACATTGATTCAATAGCTAAAAATCTAAAGGTTTATCTTTTTAAATGTGTTCTTGAGGCTATTCCCTTAAAAAAAGGGCCTATATATGCGTCCAAGCACAATGATAAACGGATAAATTACCTGATTTGTCCTTTTTTAAAATCAGATTTTATTAGATATTAGTTTTAAGCAATGCAATATCACACTCATGCATCTGCAAGTAAATAATAATATAGCTGTTAATTGAAGATGGACCTCTCCTTTCTCACATTCACATAGGAAAAATTCAAAGGAAAATGACCTGAAACTCTGTCCTGTGATTGAAGACTTTAAACAGTCGGATTAGGCTCAGAGTGTCAGGAAGTTCTCTACAGAGGCAGTCCTCTCTATCAGCTTGAGTTTCTTTAACTCCGTTGCTCTGATGCTGCTCTAACAGATGATGGCAGAAGAGATCATCAGCTTCCTAAGTACTACAGTCTGCTCTCTCCCTTCTAGTAAAGTAGTGCCTCTGGTTGAGTTTCTTGTCCAGATGAACACGCAGGTATTTATTTTCTTCCACTTCTACTTTATTTCAGAAAAAACCTGTAAAGAAAATTTTGATTTACAAATTTACCATGCAAATATTAGAATTAATAACAAGAGTTATTGTTTTAAGGATTATTTAGTGCTTATGTCTGAAAATAAGTATGAAGAAGTGAAACTTATTTTATCATTTAATCCCCTTCACCTTCTTATAAACCAGTGATTCCTAACTGGGAGTACTTGTATCCTTAGTGGTCCAGGAGTGCATTGCAAGGCGTACATGAAAATATTTTATTTCCCAGGTAATAAAATAAAATAGGGCTGGGATCGGTTCCGTTTTGTGAGGGCCAAACTAAAGGATAAAACAAGTTTTTTTCAACCTAAAAGTAAGTTTTTCTTACATGTTTGAGTTCAGCTTTGAAACTGATTCGAACAAAGCAGAGGAACAAGCTGGTATCAGCTGTTTTCCAACATCAAAACAGTGTCAGTCAGTCTGACTATAGACTTAAACAATTTTTATTGTCATTTTAGTGTACACTAAAAAAATTTGGTTTTGTACAGCTCTCTTGACATTTCCATTTCATAAAGTGCATTAAATGTAAACAATGTGGGAGAAAAAACATGGTGCAAAAAAAAATGCATTGATATGGAAGTTCAGAGCATTACATGATATAATTTTGGTTCAGTAATTTGTTCCAAGGGGACAGTTACTAAGAGGAGCTCCAGTTTTATAAAGGCAGATTTATAGTATGATTTTATTTTGTATTTATTTTGATTTCCTACTAACCTCCAGGCAACATATGTAGGCCTATGTTATTGTTTTTTTTTTGTTTGTTTGTTTTTTAGTTGGAAGCCAAGAATTAAATGCACAAGTTAAAAAGATGAAATAAAATACTCTTTATTTCATAATTAGTTATTGCACATTACACTTTAGACCATAAACTCAGCAATACTGCATCAGAGGTTTGAATTGTTCCGGTTTCCTGTGAAATCCTCTCAGATGTTTTAATTATGATTGTTTTGACACCATAACCAGTCAACCAGCTCCATAACCAGCCAACCAGCTCCATAACCAGCCAACCAGCTCCATAACCAGCCAACCAGCTCTATAACCAGCCAACCAGCTCCATAACCAGCCAACCAGCACCATAACCAGCCAACCAGCTCCATAACCAGCCAACCAGCTCCTCCTGGTGTTTTTGCAGATGACAGTCTGTCTGTCTGGTCCTGGAAGTCCGAGCTGTAAATGCATGCATTGCAAATTAATTTAATAAATAATAATTTATTAAACGCTTTATATTTTAAAGATAATCCCTATAAATGTCTTTATAGTCGCCGCACCTCCTTAAAGGGGCCCCACCTCTGCTTTAAAACACTAATTTATGCTAAAACTGGTTTTATTTTTTAATGTTTAAACACGCATTCCTTTCAAATGAGTCCCAACAGGGAGATGCGGTGTGTTTTGGTTGAGCAGCATCGTTTCCTGGGCCCCGTTTGTCCCCTGAGGGGGAGAAACCCGGAGGAGGGGCCAATCCCGAACGGAGGCGGGGCCCCACGGTGCTTCGGTTGAGTGGAGAGAAAGTGGAAAGTGGGGAGAGAAAAAAAAAATACCTGAATGGAGGATCTGCAATAAGTAAGTAGTATTTGTGTTGTTTTCCTCTTGCTGTGGGGAAATGTGGCAGAGCTTGCGTGGATGTGGGCCCTTTGTGTCCGCTTCTTTACGCGGAGCGCGGAGGATCGTGTGGCGCTGCGCGCTCCGGTTTCAGCCCCGCAAACAATAGTCTGGAGGACGCGATGGTCGCCCTTTCTCCCGCAGCGCAGCCAACTTTAGGAGCCTCATCTCCACCTATTGTTGTTCTCTGGGGGCCCACTCGGCTCCGGCGGTGATCCGGGGCCAGCAGAGGACCGGATCCGGGTGGATTTGGAGCAGAACGCAGATGCGCCTGGAGGGATGAGCGCGTCTCCTCTGCCTGTAGGCCGAAGGGTTTGAATTTTCCTCCATTCATTTCCAGAGGGCGTCCCGTTCTGGACTCACAGGAAGGGGGGAAAGAAACAAGCAGGCCAAACATTTGGATCATTTGGCTTCAGGACGCCACTAAAGGGGGCCTCGAAGGGCCCTCCATTGTCCCTCCTTTCCCTCCCCTCATTTTATTGCTCCCACAACTCTTTATAGAGCTTCACAGTAAGTTCTCCCTTTGTGTGTGAGGATGGTTGCTGAAATGCTGAGGAAGGAGAGAGCAGATAAAAATATCTCTTTATTCTGTTTATTTAGTTTTGTTACCATGAGGCTGAAATTTAAACAGAGACAGGATGATGATCTGCTGGAGAGAAACAGGCCCATCACTGAGGCATTCAAATACACAAATACTTCCTCCATCTTCATAGAAACAGAGCTTCCTGTTGAGAAAATGTTTAAAAAAGGGTGAACAGTTCAGTGATGGAATAGGATGTTAACAGATATGCTGAATAATATGGCCGAATATCAAAGTTTTAATCAGTAAAAATGTTATTAAGGGGAAAAAAAGAGATAAATATTTGTTAATGTTCATTATATTGTCCAGCTAGTAGTGGTAAACTTCTTGTTACATTTTTAAATAATACAAAAAATAAGTTTTCCTCACCACTTCATCTTCAGAGAGAACATTAATCCTAATTAATAAAGCCGAAGTAGGTGATGCTAAAGGCAAAAAATCCTAAATAAATGTATTCACTGTTCAGAAACTAATTCTAAAATCAGATATGAACAAATATTCATAATCTTGTTGGATTATTTAAACCTTCTTTTCAAATGTTTTATTCTTTTCTGTTTTCCAAAATATAATTATTTATTTAGACATATTGGAAGGTGAGGATTTTACGGAAGATGATTAGGGCCACTGAAAAAAAAAAAAAGATAACTGATATTAAATTTTTATTTCAATTTAATATGGGAAAAAAGTCAGAATTCTGAGATTAAAGTCAGAATTCTGAGAAAAAAAAGTCAGAATTCTGAGATTAAAGTTAGAATTCTGAGATTAAAGTCAGAATTCTGAGAAAAAAAAGTCAGAATTCTGAGATTGAAATCAGGATTCTGACTTTTTCCCCATATTAAACTGAAATAAAATTAAAGAATCAGTTAACTTTTTTAATTTTTTTTCAGTGGCCCTAATCATCCGTAGGATTTGGCTGCATGTGGGAGAAAAAGGTTTCTCTGTTTTAAATCTCTTGCAGGGATGAGATCCATTCCGCCATCATAAATTTACTGACACCCTATGTTTGGATTTGTTTTCATTTGATAATTCCTAAGTACCGCGATGATGAACGTGTTCCTGTTTCACGGTGTGTTAGGATACTATGGTGCAGCATCTTGGAAAAGTCTTCATTCCTTTTAAACTCTTCGATGTGTTGACACATTACACGCTTCAGTGTTTCTGGCAATGATGTCGACAGGCAGAGATTTTTTTTCCTCTTCTCTTTAGATGAGCTCAGGCTCAATCAGACTAAATCCAGAGAACCAGTGAAGGACTTTGACTGAGCCGTTCCAACACACATTATGCTTTGATTTAAACTTTATAAACTCAGGGGTGCCGTCCGGCTGTAATTCTTATTTATCAATCATCCATGTTCCCATCAACTCTGATTGCTTTCCTTCGTTATTGGGGAGTTGTGGCCTAGTGGTTCGGGCATAGAGGTTCTGAGCTGGAGCCCCACTCCCACAGACTGCCACTCTGGGTTCCTGAGCAAGACCCTTAAACCCCACACTGCTCCCCGAGCGCTGCACAATGGCAGCCCACTGCTCCCCAAGGGGATGGGTTAAATGCAGAGCTAAATTTCTCCAATGTGAGATCAATAAAGTTCAATTATTATTATTATTCCTCCTACTAATCAAAAGGATACCGTATGGATACAGTATGACGTGGAATTAATGTGTTCTGGAAGGTTAGTTTTCTCCTCATGAAGCGTTTTAATATGTTTAAAAAGGTAATATTTTGGTGTCAGAGCACCTTTTTTTTTTTTACGTTTGCTGTTTTCCACACGGCTTTTACAAGCTTTCTGTGACTTGCTTCTTCCCACTCCTCCATAATGCCCAGACCATCAAGTCAACAGATTTTCATTGAATTGAACAGAACCCAATTAAATGTTTAAATGTCTCCTCAATGTTTTCCTCAACTTGTCTGGTGTTCTTTGGTCTTTATGATGCTATAATTGAACTTTATTGATTTCACATTGGAGAAATTCACCTCTGCATTTAACCCATCCCCTTGAGGATCAGTGGGCTGCCATCGTGTGGCGCCCGGGGAGCAGTGTGGGGTTAAGGGTCTTGCTCAGGGACCCAGAATGCAGGCTGTGGGGATCAAACTGGGTACTTGCAACCTTCCAGAGCACAAGCGCTCTGCTCTAATCACTAATCCAACACTCCCCAAGGTAGATGTCGGCCGATCTTTTCCAGCAATCTTATCTGCCTCTGCAAAGGTCTGAAGATTCCGTTTTGTCGTTGTTCTAACCTTTGATTTATATTTGACAGCATTTATATTAGAAGTTTTTATTGTTTTAAATCTGATTCTTGTCTTTAAGAAAGATAAGATTGAAATATTAAAGGTTTCTTATGATTTTATAGCAATTGACAAAAAACCAAAACCCTTATCAGTCCGAACTGGAATCAACATTCCAGGCTTTTTAAAGATTGCAATCGGTGATTGGTCAGAACCCTGCGGTCGGTGCACCCCTACTCTATAAACCTTCACGGAACACCCTGATTTATTTTGATGATAAATTACACAAAAGGTGAACTCTAAGTTTTGTGACTTCTGGTTGCACTGGATTTTATTGAGAGGTATCGCAGTAAAGGGGGCTAAATATCACATGTTTAAAAAACATATATTTTTCTTTATTCTGTTTGCACTCCATAACTCTGCTCTGCTCTGAGCTGATCTATCACATCAAGTTTAAATACTTCTGCAAAGCTCTGTTATCTGCTACAAAATGCCTTTATTTTCCAAGATGAATCACTCTGGGAAGAGTAGCCACGATCCTTCAGGCTGAACCACTTCCTGTCTCTCTCTCTGCATTCATTTAGTGGGGTTTGTAAATAAATGTACCAGGACTCTATTAAAACAAGACCCCAGTGTGGACGTAATCTCACCGTGGGAGCTTTTGACACTCGGCGGCGCACCTGCTGGAGTTTTTTAAACCAGTAAGCTTTAAAACTGACAGCAGCAGTTGGCCACTTTATCTCTGGTTCTCCCTGATGTTATCCCAGGCAGGCGTGGGTGGTGGTCGATAATCTGTGTGTGTGTGTGTGTGTGTGTGTGTGTGTGTGTGTGGCCCTGCTGCCATGCTGATGAGCCTCTTCCTCTGATGGATCCTGGGTGTGTGTACAGGCTTATTTTCACAGTTGGCTGTCGAGTGGAGCCGGTCATTTCAGAGATGTCCCGGCTTGCTGTTCCTCCTGACAGCTGCTGGCACAGGGACAGCAGCGCCCTACGTTTGATGACGGCTTGATTACTTTTTGCCTTTGGGGACAAAAGGAGGCAGTAAAAAAAAAAATGCATCTGTTGAAATGGAATCCATAAATGACAAGTCATGCATTTATTTATGAGGAATTAATTTTACTTGAAAAATCATTCAGCAAAAAAAAATCACCTGGTTTTCCAGTTAAGATTCTCTATGTCATAGATTGTTTTTATTTAAAGGCTTTGCTGATTTTTTTCTGTGTATTGCTTGAGAATTTTCCACCTTTGTTGGCAACGTCTGACATTTACAGCCAGACCTAAATTATATAATCTTCACGTCAAGTTTGGTTTATCTGTAAAACCTCCAGCTACCTCACATAATTCATTGATTATAAGCCTAACTGGAAACGTTGCAGAAAGAAATGTATGGGACATGACCACAATTTAGTCAGATTCCAGATATTAAGGGAATCTCATCAGCCTTATTAGGCATGTGAGTTTATGCTAACTGGAGAGGAATAAAGCCAGATTTACAGCATTTAAAGGTGCCTTTATCTCTGACCTTTAAAAAGTCGTACGGAAGTCACATTTAAATGTCAAAACATTCTGGCTCGAACATGTAAATAAATGTATTCTTTATCAGATGATATTGTCCCATAATTAAGGACATTTCTGTTAAAAAAAAATCCTATCCTAAAATCTGTTTTTTTATTTTTTATTTCTCGTTACCTTATGCAGGCCAGTTAGTTATCCATCAGCCTGAACACCTAAATTCGGCCAATCATATATCAGCGGTCATCTGTCAATCAAATTTTTTCGGTCATCGCATCTTGATTCATATGTCGCAGCTAATATATGCAACGGTTGAAATAAGAATAAGAGTTATTTCCTTTCCCATTGAGTTCCGTCCCAGTGTTCACGGGGATGGACGTCTGTGTCTTCAGCAGGCGTAGAGCTAACAGAACTGGCAGCGTTGCGAGGCAAGGGCTCAAACATGTACGGCTGGAAGCCTTCTACACCAAACCAAGCTTCTGCCGCCCTGGCGTCCTCTTCCACAACATCTTTAACCCCGCTTTCCTCCTCTAAATAAAAAATATATGACGGAGGAGACTCATCCACGACCTCCGACACTAAACTCTCCTCCTCTTGCATGTTTCCTCTGTCCATAGTGTTCCTTGACAGTGTCGTTTCTAAGTCACCAATTTAGTGCTACTTGGTCCCAATGGAATTTCCCATTGGGAACCTACTAGCACTATGTTGCTAACCGATTAGCAAGATGCTTCCGACAAACCAGCTACAACCAAACTTGCTTGCAAACCTTCCGCCACAACAATCCCACTCCTTTGATAAACGACCAATCACATTCACTTTATTCACTCGTGTAAAGTTGTGCACCATTGGGAGAATTCGGAAATTCAACCATTGGAACAGCCGCTTCCCTACAACTTTAAAGCTACCAAAGTAGTTAAACAACAGCAGATCAAACTGTATGAATTCAATAATAACGTTGTTATAACTGGTCATAGTTGTAATCCATGCAGGGCTGAAGCAATTAATCAGATTAATCGCGATTAGTCAATTATTGAAATAATCGTCAACTAATGCAGTAGTCATTAACTGGAGTATAGAAATTATTTTTTTTTTTTTGGTTAAAATTGAAAAGTTCTGCTGCGTTTCCTCCGACAGTGATACAGTTTGAGAATGGGTTTCAGATTTGCAATGGTTTAAAAATGTTCCAGGTTCTGTTTTC